ATTCTCCATAACCCTATTGAATTAGGTATTGCTCTATTTTTTTCATCATTGACTGAGCCTAACATTGCATGAGATCTTTGTAGAGCCATTATAAGGAGTATAAATAAACGTGCCGTAAAATCCTAAATTTCCAAATTACGACTTCTAAGATTTTGTTTCGTAATGGGGGATTTTCTTTGTCAATAAAAGCAAAATTTATAAAGAATAGTTATAAAAAATATATATCATTTCACAAGTAAATTTAAAAGATGATCATATCACTAATTAATAATCACATGTAAACATTTAAAAAAATATTAATTAAGAATGGTGTAGTGACATATAAGCATGCCACCCTCACACACTTCAATTTGTATTTTTGGGGATTGTCAATTTATTTGTGTGATGAAATTAATTAAATAAATGGTAATCCTATATTGTTTGACCATGGCAGTTTTTGTACAAGAAAACCAAAGTTGTAATGATTTAAGCAATATATTTAGAAATAAAATAATTATCATCCATATCTAAAACTTTATTCAATTTTAATCTCTTTGATTAAGAAAATTTGAAATAAATATTTTTTAATAATTTAGAATGATTATAAGGTGGATATTTAGAATTTTTTAATCAATTAACAACATGTAAGCACCTTACAAATCTAATTATTCGAACTTAAATCTTTTAAAAAACATTTTTTTATTATTAAAGTCTTAATTCTAAACAAACATTATTTAAAATACTTACATTAATAAAAAAAATATAGACACAATGCATATTTGGGTTTATTTATTTATTTATTTATTTATTTTGCAATTATTGATCGCGAAAGTGTTGTGTCATCCTCGTTTTTCAGCTATATCATATTTGGGTTTATTTTATTTTATGAGAAGTGAATGTCAAAAGATTTCTTTTACAAAATATAAAGATTTTATGGAAAAGTAAGACTTTCTCAAATATTACCATTAATTTTAAAAATAGTACATTTTTCTGACATATAAGGTGAAGTTGTATTCAATTAACGTGATTAGCCATTAAATTATAAAAAATTAAAATTGAAATTTGACTTCGTGAATAAGAAATATTTTTTGTGTTCATTTATATATATATAATTAAAATGTTAGTTTTTGTTTTCTTATCAACGTGAGATTCAAGAGTTAAAAAAATATTTCTCTAATTATTTTTCTCATATAATCTCTACTTTCTTTTATATTTATATCGTATCATGGTATATCTATATCACACTCTATTAACAAATATCACTTGACTGAATCTTTATTATTAAGACCAAATCATATTTATATTAATTAAAATTAAATATTTCGATATACAAAAGTATTCATATTGTATATTTGATAATAAATTATGTTTATAAAACTCTATCAATTTGATCCCGAGATTTAATTTTTTTTTATCTACAACTTGATTAGAGTTTCATGCAAAAAACAATTATTATATAACCACAACAAATATAAAGAAAAGTAGCTTTTACTAAAAATGAATTTGTTAAAAATTAAATTCAGATCACTTAATTTTTTTTCATGCCTAAAATCATAGGGAAAATAATTGTATTATAATATCTTATTATTGATTATGAATGATTATAACATTTAACATTTATTCAAAGCACTGTTGTAATTGACTCAAATAATGTTTTAGTATTTTTTTTTGACAAATTTTAAATCTAATACTAATCATATCTAGAGAAGAGAGAAATAGGATGAATCTAGGGGAAGGAAAGGGGTTGATCCTAATGGGTCTAAAACTCATGACCTAAGGAAATATGAGAAAATAAAGATGAACAATTTGACCATCTGACCAAATATGGTAGCTCAATAATATTTTAGTATTTAAGTCTTAACTATACATATTTTAATTATTTAGATAATTTGATTAATATATCTAACTGAAATGTTAAATATTAAACAAATAGATTATACATACATAAATGTATTATTAAAGTAACCTACAAAATAAAAATTAAAAGTAAAAATAAAAATATAAAAAATTTATCGATTACAATATAGAGGACTAGCTTTAAAATTTTAAATTTAGATTAGGTGTTTAAATCAAATTATACAAAGGCATTCATTTTTTTTAATTTCCACCATTCAGATTTTGAAAATATTTAAAAGATTTTAAACAAAGTTTAATCTATAATTTATAAATTAAGTTTTTAAACACTGTAATATATCAAAATATTTAATTTTAACTAACATAAATATAATTATGTTTTAATAATAAATTTTAATCAAGTGAGGTTCAATAATAGAGTATAACATGGATTTACCATGGTACAATGTAAATATAAAAATAATAGAGATCATATTTTAGAAAAAAAGTTAGAAAAATAGTACAAGTTAATTATAAGATAATATATGTTCATAATATTCCTTAACTATTGATAAAACACACCCCATACAGATACAACAGTTCAAACCCATAACTTCAAAGCGGAAAAAAACTTCCTTTAATTACTTAAGTCAATAATGAATTCATTCAAAATCATAAATTTTAATTATTTAAGGTTGATTATCGACATAATTTAATGTCTATATATAGTCATTTTTATCATATTCCTGTCATCAGATTGTATCTCACTAAAACAATTGATGGATAGAAAACTGTAAAAAAAAAGTACTGAAGACTATACTGACGGAAGAAAAGAATGTGACTGTAAAATTTTATCTGTGGGTAAATGTAAAGTCGGTGTAGAACTAAGTCACTTCTATGCATAGTTTGTACCAATGTTTTTAAAACCTGACCTTAAACCGGTGAAGGTATTCGTTCACTGGTTCAACTGTGGTTGAATCGGTTTATATAAAATAATATTTTTTAAAAATTTTACATAATATTAAAAGTAATATTAATATATATATATATATAATACTCTTTTTAAGTTCACAATATGAAAAGGTATAAAAATATCACAAGTCATAACATATATAAGTTAAATACCATAAAATCAAGTGAAACAAAATGATTCAAATCAACTACAACATAATATTTAAGGTCAATACCTAATGAAATTCATCAACAACTAAATAAAAAAAGTATAATTGATACAAGTATCAATCATCATAATCATAAAATAAATTTGGGGTTGAAAAAATCATAACAAATGACGTCGTTTGGTTTAATTTTTTTTACAAAAAAAAAAACCGGTTGAACCGGCCGGTTCACACCGGTTTTGCCAGTTCTTGACCGGTTCGTTGCAAAATAGGTTTTATAGGGTGACCGGACCAGATAGGCAACTGATTCCCGGTTTAACCGGTCGAACTGGCCGGTCCAATCCGATTTTAATAACACTGGTTTTTACTAACTGGACTCTATCTATTAAAAAAGAGGTTTTTCTTGTTATTGAAAAAATGTGCAAATTAAAACCTTGTCTTCGTTAGAGAATCTTATTAATAAAAAATGTTTTAGTACAACTTACTACAATTTAATATCATTATTTTTATTATTTCCAATATGTATTATTATTATTGTTAATTGATTAGTACCAAATGGAAGAGGCGAACTAAACACGTTATCTTAATCCCAAAGGTCAGTGATCCTAAGAATGAGTCAATTTTGTCCTATTAATTTGTATAACGTTATTAGAAATTTGAAAGTGAAAATAAATAATATTATATCAATTATATATAAGAAATGAAATTTAATGTAATTAGTGTGTTTATTTATACGGATGAAAAGAATAATAATTTACTATAAACATATAAATCATAAATGATAAAAATACATGATATCTCATGTATCATAAAATTCGATATTTATATAAAAACCAGATGCATTTCATATCAGTCTCTCAATATACTTACAAAACTTAAACTTCAAAAGTTGTAAAGACTATAAAAAGGATTACATATCTCTAAAATAATTCTCTCTCATAATTATAAAGGTTAAAACATACTCTCAATTTATAGTAAAATACTTGATCACCAAAATTCTTTATTCACTTAGAATTCTTACTAAATAAACTTAATCACCAAATAATCTTCAACTAATAGAGTTACAGCAAAATCCAACTTAATTTCTAATTAGAGTCAACATTTAACAATCTCTTCCTCTAACAAAATTCTATTAGAAAAATCTTCAATAACTTTTGATCTTACTTAAGCAAAAAATTGATTGAAACACTTTCATTAAGTATTCAACAACTTCAATCCTTACGTAATATTTGTTGAAGTACTATCATCCCGATACTTTAGAAGACATAAAGGGACGAATCCAGGGAAAGGGTCTAGAACAACTAAACCTAAAAAATCACGATTAGTAAATATGACTTCTGACAGACCCACGTGACTTATAAGAACCAAATCCACCTAGCCTGCTAGCCTATGCAGGGTACCAGCTCAAGAGGAGCAGTGTATAATTAACCATAGAAAATGAGAGAGACAAAATCAAAATAGACTTAAACTAAAGGTCTAATTTGGTATTTACCTATGTATTTTTTAAAAAAAATAAAAAAAATAAGGGGTAGTGGCCATTATAACCCTTATAACCTACGACTAACACTTGCACTAAAGACCTCTATAAAATCTCTTGAACATGATCGAGAGAAGGGAAGAGAACTCTATGAAACCATCTCACCTATATTCTTCTCTGCTCCACCTCCTTATAGAAATAGAGCACTTCCATACCGACCAATGATCGATTTTTAACTGACTATAACTCTCCACCTAAATCAAAAGGGGTAAATCGTAAATATTTTCGCAACCCATTTTAACCAATCAACAATTATACTTAGATTACTATTAGTAATTTTTATTCGGAATTAAAGACATTACTACAACCAAGCATGTGTATTTGTTTATTTAGCTAAATAAATGAACGGCTCACAATTCTTAAAAAATTGAGGAAATATTTTCAGCACATTTTACATATTAAAAATGTTTACTAAAGGGTTTTCCTTTGTTAAATGATTTCAGTGATTACGTGTAGTGGGTTAATCACAAAGTTGAGAATTGAAATATGTCTATAAAAGGAGACTCTAAGATATGCAAAATTACACACACCTCTCCATCTTTAAAAAAAATCAAGGGTAAAACAATATTATTACTATGTCGTCTTCATCTCTAACTGGTAAACTGGAGGATTCAACGGAGATCGAGGCCTCGGCTGAGATGTTCCATCAGATGCTCTTGCATAAGCCACACCATGTCTCCAACGCCAGCCCTAACCATGTTCGAGCATGCGATTTACATCACAGTGATTGGGGCAAAGAGGGCTCCATCATCTGCTGGACTTATTTTCTTAGTAAGATTTATAGATTCTTATATTAAGTGTCCCAGCTGATTTTCTAGTAAAGTGATTAATAACTTTTTTATATTGTTGATGTATTTGTATGAACCCTAGATGGGCAGCCCAAAACGGCGAAGGAAATAGTCGAATCGGTGGATTCAAAGAATAACTCAATAACTTTGAGAGTGATTGAAGGAGACATACTGGAGGAGTTCAAGAGCGTTGTGGTGAAATGTAAAGCTACTCCCTCTGCTAAAGGTAAGGGTTGTGTCGTCCAATGGGTTCTCGAATACGAGAAGCTCAAGGAGGATATTGCTCATCCCGAGACTACATTGGCGATGCTGCTCGAAGTCGCCAAAGACATGGGTGCTCACCTTACCAAACCCTAAACCACATGACCTGATGTTAATTTCTACAAAAATAATGATCAAGTCAAGGCTTGGGGTTTATGGCGTTTGAATCAGTGTTCGTCAACGTATTATATTTAGTACAATAATATCAGCAGATCGGTAGATCGTAGCTGTGATTGTGAACGATTAGTTTGTTATTTGAATGTGTGTAATGGGTGATGGTGTGCTCTATATGCTTCTGTTTATGACGTTGTTGGATTATAACGCTTGATATATATAATTAATCTGCTTTTTCTATACTTGTTTGGAGTGTGGTAGCAAAGTCTTAGTGAATTGTAGTCATTTTCACATCACATAGGTATTTTAAAATTTTTGTACTTCAGGTAATTCAAAAACATTTTGGCACATTGGAGTATTTTTATCATGTAGGGGTAATTTAAACAAGTAAAACCAATCTATTTATACCAATAATTGTAATTCAAATAGTGCTTAGAGATGACAACGGGAGGTTCATGATAGTCTATGGCGATTAGATTCATACTATTAGAACAAAATCAGATTTTAAATTGATTCAAATTTAAAAATATTTTTATTAGCATATAATTCAACTCAAAATTTTAATTAAAAATCAATTCTGATATGATTTAATTTAACATAAATTTTAAATCTTCATATTTTTTATTTCTTAATAATTTGTATTATATTAAAATTTTACTAATCCAACTGAATTTTAAAAAAACTTATCTGAAATATGTTTTTTTTTAAATAAATATTATTAAATTTTGATCACATCAAAATTTATTATATATGAATTAATTTCGTTATCCCTAATCGTGTTATTTACAGTCTACAAATAAATTTATTTACACCATTTTTTAAAGTTTCTTTATATCGCTGTTCAAAAATTTAATCATATGCATTGGATGACTTACAGGGGTGACATAATAGTGAAAGTTTTCTAATATTTAATAATTTATTTATTTATATTAAAACTTATGCATCAAGCAATAAGCCTATCCGACAAATCATCGTTGGAGTGGGTTGAGCTAGTTGTGCATGCACGAGCCAATTTATCCTTGTTGCATGACCACTAGTTTTATCAATCTTTTTATTAATTGTTTTTTTCTTGATTAATGCGAGGTAAGTACAAAACAATATTTATTTAAAGATAACTTTTAATGATGTATTTCAGGGTGTCTATGTTTTGTATAGGATGAGTCTAGAATAAACGTCGCACATCGAAATACACCATTAATGTGACACATCAAAATATACTACTAAATAAATTATCATTATTAAGAAAATATTAAAAAATTTAAAAACTTTTTTATGATTAATTATTTATAAAAGTTTCGTTTAAACTCTAATAAATTTATACTTAGGTTATATATTTTTATTTAAAATCTTTACTAATATATTACTTTTATTTTGCTTTAAAACGAAACTAAAAATCATTAAAACTTATCCCATTGAGGATTATAACAGTGTCTGAAATCTACCGTCGGCGATACTTTACTTACCGGAAAGTCCCTTATAAATGTGCATTTATTGACACAAACTAACTTTGATATGTGATCCTCGATATATGGATGTAAATTTAAATCGACATAGTGAACTTATTAAAAAAGCAACATATTTATTAGTGAAAATGGATAGTTGGTTATTGCAAATACTTCCAAGCCAGGAAAATATGGCCAAGGGTCATTTAAGTTTAATTAAGTCTTAGGTCCAGATGTTACTCAATACTGGTTCTAATAGAGCCACTAAAGAGGAAAAATATTTTTAATTTTTTAATAATTTATAAGTTATATTTTATAATCTATGATATATATTTTATTTTTTCGATAGTAGTTTTAGTATTTTTAATATATATTAAATTTTTAGTGATTTGACTTTTATTTTTAGTACTTTTATATTTGATTTTTGAATATTTTTATATTTAAAATTTAAAAGAATTTTTATTTTTTAAAAAATAAATAAGCATCTAAACTTTTAAAAAATAATTTGACCCTCGAACAATACCAAAAAACCAATTTAGCCAATCTGTCATGTCATCTGCAATATCATCAACCACCATGGACAGCCACGTCAACAGAGTAACGATCAACGATGAAAAATATTGGTCAAAGGGCCATATTGGGTTTGTTTTCTGAGTTGGAGGACCACATTGGATGAAAAACTAATACAAGGGTCACATTGATTTTTTTCGAAAATATATGATTCAACTCGGTCTGAGTCAACTCGGTCTGAGTCACCCCGTTGACTTTGACGAAAAAGTTAACTTTTTCGAAAAGGTCTCATTTTTCGACGTCCTGAGTCCGAATTCGAAGTCCGTTTTACCAATTCGCACCCGATAAACTATTTTTCAATGTTTTATCTTCGGAATCAAGTTGGTTTCTCATTTAAGTTCTGTTTCTGACGTAAATTTAGTTGCTTTATATCCGAGGAATTATTGAAAGTTGAATTCAAGTTCGAGGGCGATCAAATGAAGTTCAAATGGTCGATTGGTATGACATGAAAACCGAGGTAATCTATTACTACATGTTTCACGCTTTATGGAACATGTTAATATTGATTTCTACATGGATGAGTATAATTGGTCACATGTATATAGAGATCATTTCCTAAACTCGATCCGAGTACTATAAAAATTCGGTAATCGGATAGGACTTATATGCCTTGCTTAAGGAATTGGAAGATCAATTGAAAATAATTATAAGTTCAGTGATCCAATAATAAATGAATCAGTTTCAAGATCCGTAAATTTTGATAAATCTCTTTAAAGGTGAACTATCGGGATTATTTGGATAAGAAATTACAAAAATAGCTCTAAGGGGTAAAATTATGAAAATGCCATTGTACTGTAAAAGACCAATATTTTCCCCGGATGGCGAAAAGTAACTCTGAAATGATATACTTGAATAATTATCAGAAAACCTACATATGATCGAATTGAAAGAAATTACTGAAATATCCTCAAGCTTTGTAATAACTATAATAACCTCAAACGATCAAATGAACAAAATATCCTGAACGCTAAAGGAACTAGATTTCATTCAAGCCTAACTTATCGAAAGTATGCCACTGACGGATTTGAATGAAATGATGGTGATACGCTTAAACTGTTAAACACAATAAATGACTATGATTTTGAGACAACCTGAGAACTCATATCTCGATACACTTGAGCTATGAAATTATTGAATTAAATTTCGGATCTATATTGGAATTATAGATTTACCCATGAAGTGTAAAATGACCAAAATACCCCTAAAGTACCTCTAAGCCCTGGAATAACTAATACCCTTAACTATGAAATAAACAAATCAACCTTGAATACCAAAATAACTTTATTATATGACCAAATTAATATGAACGGAAGTACAATATGTATCCGAAATTCAGAAACGTCTTAATTACTCTGAAAAACTCTGAAGTGACCGGATTAGACTTGACTACTAAATGAACTAAGTAACCTCAATGATTGAGGATTAAGTAAGTTATTTGGATGATTCTAGAAACGTTGATGAACTTACATGATGTATTGTCCCTATGGGTAATGAACCATGAATTAAGTACATCGACAATTCATGATATTGTTGCAATGTGGAAATGAAATAAAGACCATTGGAATATATGTTCGTCTCCTTAAGATCTATTCAACGATGATTCTGAAGATGATCTATGGACAAGAGTTGTTGGTATTAAAGAGTGAATACCCTAGAAGGGCAATGAATTGACCAGTCGACGTGCATCAGTTCTAAGAGTTGTTCAGCTCGAGTTATTTCGATAATCCAATAGATCGACACATATTGTAAATTTCCTGAATCTTTGTTTCTCCCTTATCATCTCAAATCACTCCAGACATATCTGAAAACACAAGTAACTCAGATGCAAAGGATCCTGAATACCCCATTTGGTTCAATTGGACTTAAAATTCTGATAATTCAATTCGTAATTCTGAATGCCCTTAATTGTTTGAGTAATGGAATCACTCTCCGTAAATCTAAATCTAGAACTATTTTGTATAAAGGTTCCTGAACATCTTTCTGGTGCACCTGAATCATAGTGGGATTCTAAAGTATCAACTTCAAATGTCTGATTAGTTCCATTAGTAATCGATTCCTTTCAATAGGACCTCATTCCTAAAATCCGATCAAATTAAATAAATTTAATGTTTTCCTGATACTATTAAGTTCTTCTGAAAAATGCTTAGATCCTTTAGTGGTTTTCATATGTACTACATGACCGTTTTATATGTTTTGAAATGAGTTTTAACGAAATTATTGATTTACTGGTTTATGAACTATAGCAATATGGTATGTGTTCTCCAATTACGGGTTTCACCGAAAAAAATGAATTGTTTCTGATTTATGGAATCATCGAATTTACTGGTTTATGAATTATGGTTTCTTGTTTTCAATGGTTATACTCGAACTGTTTTATTGGTATATTATATGGGTAGGCTAAAGTATGGAGGTACAGATCTGATCAAGCTGGTAAATACTTAGGTAGACTCTCAGGCCCCAAGGTACTATCTTGGGTTAATCATGGGACTATATATGGTGTACAAGTGGAGGAAAATTATATGGTTCATTTTATTGTCACGTTTACAAGATTTTACTAGATCACTATCTAGATACTACGATTTACGGTTAAAATTAATTTCTACAGGATTTTATATGGGTATAATTCTTGGGTATGATTCTGGAGTATGGAGGTTCAACCCTGATCCAGTTGGTAAATCCTTACGGACCTAAGGATACCCTTGGGTAGGCTCATAGGCCCCAAGGCATTCCCTTAGATTTGCTCCCTTTACTATGTGCTTAGGGTACACCCTTATGGATGCAGTTATGGGGAACTGCATAATGGAGTTTGGTTAAAGGGTTCCACTATGGTTTTGAAAATATGTTGTAAACAATTATTGTTTTAAAAGATTTATATATTTTCATTGGTTTTGGTTGGAACATACTAGACATCATATTCGATCTCCTGAAAACTTGATACTTTGAATGTTTCCTATGAACTGAAATCTTAATGCTTGTTACTAAAAGAAATATCAATGGTATTGCAGATCATCCTGAAAGCTTGTATAAGTTTGAGTCAATAAAGAAATTTTATAGCTTTTCATTTATATGCATGTTCTGTAGCATCAAATGGTAGTATTGTATTATTGAACTTCCCAAAGCTCACTTTGTTACTCACAATTTCAGGTTAAAAGAATCATACAAGTACAACCATCGACTTCAGTAAGGGAGTTCCACCGGCGTTACTTGCGGAGTACGGTGCATGTGATT